GTCCCTAAAAAGACAGGGGAAGTGAGAGTATGTATAGATTATCGAGCTCTGAACCACATTACTAAAGTACCGGCCATTCCAATACCTCTAACAGCAGAATTGATTCAGAAATTAGCTGGACACAAGATTTACCATACCTTTGATTTGGCTCACGGTTATCATAACCTTCTAATCCATGAAAGTGACATTCCAAAGACAGCAGTAATTCTTCCTGAAGATTTGGGTCTTCCTGCTCGACATCTAGAGTGGACTAGATTGAGTTTTGGTTTATCTGCTGCACCTGGAATATTTCAACAAGTCACTGACAGAATAATGAGAAAAGGCACTAATCCAAATCCTGATAATGATGTCGGTCCTAATAGCTGTGTTTACCTGGATGACATTTGTATTGCTGGTGACACTTTTGAAGAGATGTTACAACGCCTGGAAGCTCTCTTTAATCGTGTTCGAGCATCAGGTTTCTTCTTGAAAGCAAAGAAGTGCTTTATCTTTCAAGACTCAGTCGAGTATTTGGGCCATGCCTTATCTCACTCTGGCATTGGTACCACATCCAAGAAGGTTGACAAAATAACCAACTGGCCAACACCTAAAGATGCCAAAGAAGTTCGAACCTGGTTAGGAATGATTGGTTACTACTCTAAATTCATTCCACACATGGCTACAACTGCCTCTCCGTTGTATGCCTTACTTCACAAGGACAAAGCCTTTGTTTGGGATGAGTCATGTGAGAAGAGTTTTAATGAACTCAAGAAGCTTCTCACTACAGCACCTTTCCTTGGCTCACCTGACATTTCAAAAGGCAAGTTCATTCTCTACTGCGATGCCAGTCTTACAGGCATTGGATCTGTTTTGAAACAAGAGCAAGATGGTAAAGAAGTTGTTTTGGCATACTGGTCTAAGAGTCTCAATGCAGCTCAAAGAAATTATTGTGTTACTCACCGTGAACTTTTGGCTTTAGTTGAATCAATAGAAAATTTCCATCACTATCTTGCTGGTGCCCCTTTTACTGTCAAAACAGACCATTCTGCTTTACAGTGGTTGAGAAATTTCAAACAACCAACTGGACTCATAGCAAGATGGCTCAGTCGTTTAGCCCCTTACAAATTTGAAGTGGTCTACATCAAAGGCAGTGAAAATGCAGAAGCTGATGCTCTTTCTCGCAGACCATCCAGACCATGTTCCACAGACTGTAAGAAATGTACAAAATTAGAATTTCAAGAACACTCCATTACTTCAGAAAATATTTCAGTCTGCTGGATCTCTGTTCAACCTGACCCAGAATGCAGTCCTACCGAGATGAGAAAAGCACAACTCCTTGATCCTGATTTGATGCTTATCATCATGGCAGTTGAAGAAAATAAAAGGCCTGATTTTCAAGAAATTGTAGGCTGCAGTCCCAAAACCAGATCCTTGTGGCTACAATTCAAATCTTTGGTTGTTCACAACGGGTTACTCTATAGGAAGTTTGAACATCCATCTGGTAATCTCAACTTGGAAAAATATCAGCTCATTCTGCCAACAAAATTCATACGTAAGTTTGTCATTGAACACCATGAAAATTCTGCTACTGGAAATCATTTTGCTGCACTCAAAACTTACCAGTCACTACAGAAGATCTTTTATTGGCCTGGTATGCAAGAAGATGTCAATGACATTGTTTCACAATGTGAAAAATGTGCCAAATTCAAGTTTCACAAGAGGCCCAAAGTCCCACTCAAAATTTTCAGAGAAGGTGTGTTACATGGGAAATGGCACGTAGATATTTGTGGCCCAATCAACCCACCATCAAAAGAGGGGTACACCTATGTTTTGGTTGCTGTCGAAGCATTTTCTGGTTGGCCCTTTGCCATTCCTTTGAAAACAAAATCTTCCACTGAAATTGCACAAGCTCTAATCAGAGATGTCTTTTCTGTCTTTGGTTCACCCATGGCCATTTTATCTGATCAAGAAAGATGCTTTACTTCTCAGTTAATGCATGAGATTTGTACCATCTATGGAATTCAGTCCAGTAACATTTCCATAGCTCACCCTGCAGCCAATGGCAAAGCTGAGAAGTGGGTCAGAACTCTGAAAGAGCACATTGCAATTATGATTGAGAATGAAAAGAAAAATTGGCCAAACACACTACCTCTGATTTGTCAAGCATATAGGAGTTTACCACATACCTCAACAAAGTTCTCACCCTATGAAGTAATTTTTGGAGCTCCTATGCGAACCCCTTTGGACTTGAAACGAGGCCTTCCTCCTACCACTAATCAAGAAATTAATCCTGAACATTTTCCGTTTTGGCTCCGACAAACTCTCAGCAACATTCATGATCAAGTAAGAGAAAATTTACAAGACTCAGCTCTCCGGATGAAACGGCACTATGACCTCCATGCATCTGTTGCTCCATTTCAAGTTGGACAACTTGTGTGGTTCTACAACAGAAAAAGAATTAAGGGTAAATCCCCAAAATTAGACACTCCATGGGAAGGTCCCTACAAAATTATCAAAGTGTTAAATGATTGTATTGCTGCTATCCAGTTTTGTCAAAACCCTCAACTCACCAGAATCGTTCACCTGGATAAACTGGCTAGTTACTCAGTACCTGTGGAAGGTGTCCAGGCAGCTTGGCTGGTCATCAATGACTCACCATGGCCATCTTGAGTCTACAACTGGTGTCTTGGTCTCATCAAGCTAGCAGTAAAATCTTCAGTTTGTCGTCACCGTAGCAACAGCAATTAAACAGTTCCTCTGGTCTTTGGTCCTTAAAAATGTCAGACAAAAAGTCATCAAAATCAAAATTCTCTTTTGACAAGACCAAACTAACTTCAAGCATCAAAAGCATAATCACTAAATACCATCGCGAGAAAAATCCTGCTGCTGAAGTGCCTTCAACCTCCTCGGACACTCCAGATCTCCGAAAGAAAATTGAGGAGTTGAGGTTAACCACAGTTGAACAAGATCTCCGCTCGAAAATCGATGAAATTCACCAGTCAGCATCTCGACCTGCACCAAAATTAATTACTAAACGTGTTTGCACTGTCATGCCTGGAAAAACAGTCAAACTCATCATTCGTAAGAAGAAGCCGACTAACCTTCCTGTGGAGCCGGCTACCCCAGCATCACCTGCTTCTACACTTCAAGTGAAAGTGCTTCCAGATGTGTCCACTCCGGTTTTGAAGAAGCCCATGAAGCGTAAGCG